TATTTACAAAGTGTGAGTGTCTTAAAGTTTTCGTTTTATTATCACTTTCACTATTCTACTGTCTGTTTAATGGCGATACCTTCTTTTCGACATAATATTATTTTTGAAAAGGAAAACTTGTTTGTTGTTGCTTGCATTATTAATGCGTAGCTCTTCATGATTCATATATTCGGCATATCCACCCTATTTGTCACTTAATTATGACATCGGTCCCTCAGTCTCTAAGGTGAGTTGGTCGCACGTAAGCGAAATGCTAATGTCACTCTCCACAATGTCAGCGGCCAAGGATTCGAGTTGGCGGACAGGTAAATGGCCCGAACGTTGAACCGACGAATGACCTCCGACAACAACGGCCCCCATTTTCGGTGTCGAAATCATCTCGCGCTAAAATAACACCGCTACAACAATGCGGTGATTATAATTATGCCTCGCTGCTCGCGATCCAATTTTCTTCTCTGTTCGGCCCGTTGTAAAAAATTTAAGGTTTGTTTTAAAAAATTTAAGGCAGTACGCTAATTGATCTAAACGTGTAATATTATGACGTCGGAAGTGTGGAAGTTTTCACGCTGAGCTGCGCTCTTGTATAACCACGTGTAACTATGGAAAGTGATTAAAAATAAAAATAATTTCTTGAAAATAGATTTGCCTGTGCGTCATGCTTTGCCAAGGCCTCGGGTTTTTTGTGAAAAATAACACTCGATAGTCATCTCTCACATTGACATCTCAACGCATCTGCTTGTATAAGCATCTTGTTTCCGAATTATTCTTTTTTCGACAGTAAAAATGTTGAAATGCCAAAAATATTTCTCGAGAGGTATTTTTGATATCTTAATCTCGTCTTCAATTTTTTTTCCGGAATTGCAAATATATATAATTTTATAATATTATATATCATAGAAATTTTTTTTCGTTTTTTTGATGTCGTACATACGTGAACTTAAATTGATTAGTACACAGCATTACGCAATACGATAAATAATTCCGAATTTTGAAGAATAAAACGTGTCTTTAATCTCGGATAATAGAATATCAACGAGGTCTGTAATTAACTATGGGCGATACACAGTATGGGTGAATAATTAATAGAGGTCGATGATACAATTGCGTGATCGAAATACGTTGATTTGCAGTAGGTTTCCTTAATGGAGAGTTCGATAATAGGAAAGCGATATAGAGTGCTCTAGAACTGTCATCGGCGACATCGATTTTACGAGAAATGAAATCTGGTAGATTAGTAGATCAAACAAACAAAGATATTTCTTATGTTGATTACTTCTCTCAACATTTAATTGTATGGTCGAAAGCATCGTGGAACACATCGGAAATTGTTAGAAAACAATAAAAACATTCCTCACGAAACTTTCATTATTTTTAAATATACTATAAAAAATATTCACGCGTAAAGAAATATTTATTTTTAACAATTTGACAATTATTTAGCAGTTATAGATTTAAATGTTGAAAAAAAGAAACGCGTTGGAATTAGTTTTGTGCGTTTCACAAACGTACCAGGTTTTTTAGAAATCGAATAAGCACGGTTTGAGAATATTTCTTGTCGAAACGCGAAAATAGATAATTTTTATTTTTATTGATGAAGTCAAAGCCGCGCATAGCACAAGGCCATGTAACTAGTCATTGACCCTAAGATCAGAGATTTAACACAATCATTCTTCAATAAAATCCCAGCAGGTTGAAATGAGACGGACGAAAGATACGGGTGGGAAGTAGACCAAAAAAAAGGGAGACAAGACAGAAAAGACGGAGCCAGGACCCTCAACAGCACAAACCGGCTAGCCAAGGATGTAACGTTATGTCTGTTAGATTCCGGAGAGGATCATCGTGATCGAAGTTTATATATAAGTTTATATAAAGACGTGGATGACGAAGGTAGGAATTCAAATAAACTGCATTTCAAACCTTTTCCGAAATAAAGGCCGATTTAAAAGAATTTTCATATAAGTTGATGTATAATATAGCATAAACTGGTTACATTTTGTTCTGTTAATCCGAAATCACGTGTGTGGCAGTTTACCTCTAATCTTAAGAAAATTTATTTTTTGATATATCATAAACAATATTTAAATACAACGGCAATTTTTTGAAGATTTTATTACATACAATTAAAATGAGTAAAAATATAATATTTGAGAGAAAACATGTTGATAAACATTGTTGAAATGAGTAATCACATAATAATAATAAAAAATTAATGTAGCCAAAATAAACGAAGCAAATGAATTGCGAATCTCGATCGTCTCTCCTCAGTTTTAATTATTTATTTAATTTTTTTTATACAGAGTAATGCAATTTTCTTGACAAAGCCTCTTGTCTCGTTTTCTGCGCAATAATTACAATTACGAGCGAACGCCTATTAATCTCGCGCTTGCACAGACGAGTCCCGTGGAGGGATTTTCAGGGACAGTGTCGAGCAGAGCGTGAGCGGGACAGAGTCAAGGCGAACGATGACGTACGTGGGTGACGAGGAGAGTGGAGAAGAGCGAGCGGTGGAGCGGCAGCCTCTTCGGAGAGAGAGGCAGAACTCGCGCTCTCCCTCTTCGAGACGCGGTCGAAGACACGAGACACCACCACGGTCGCTCGTTACATAAGTAAGGTAAAGGATCTCCTCTTCTCTGCTCTCCTTGAGCCGATCCACATTCGCGATTATACCACTTTCCATCGACCTCTCTCTACCCCGAGCGCGGTGCCCGCTCGCGCGTGTAGATGCGTGCGAATTTACGCGAACGCGTGTGCGTATAGTAGATGCGTGCTCGCGTGCGATTAATAACACGACAAATATCGCGCCAACTGCCCGCGGAATTTTTTAATACGGGCGTGCGTTCGTTAAAGTTAGTAACAATGTTCACGAACGATTATGCATCGGGGACGAAGTTGTTTCATTAACAGATTTAAGCGCAATTGAGTGCATAATTTCGACAAGGAGATAGTTTTGTAGAAACGGTAGTGTATACGTACATAAAAAAGTACCGTTCCGAGATTATCTTCAACGCTTTTATACATATAACATTCTAGAATCGATTTGGAATTTATTCCTTTTTTTTATAAAATGCAGAGAAAGCATTCAAAGTGAAATTCCTTTTTTGATAATAATAGATCGAAGATGTATAAATAGTAAAACTATTTATTCCAAATTCTGAGCTTTATTTTAAGCTGAAAACACTTGAAATTATGTAGTTCAGAAATTAAGCCTATTATTATTCTATCTTTAACTGAGATAACAAACATTACATTATTTTATTTAATATTCTATTTATAAGAAAGATAACAAGAAACATGATAAAAAATATTAATAAAGTCATAATTACAGAGGATTTACGTTATTTTCAGAATGTACGAACAAAAAATATAGCCAGAGGCTATAATATAATTATTTAATATTATAATTCAAGCTCTATATAGATTTTCAAGGATGATTCATTCAGTGATCTTTCGAAATTTTTTTAACGATCTCTCATTTTCTACAGGAGACCTCGAAATTCCATAGCGCTTAAAGGTTCCATGTCATATAAAAAAGCCTTCACAAAGTAGAACTCCGATATATAGACGTCGGAGCCGGAGAAATAAATTGTAATTTGAAGGTCATGATCCAACGGGTAATTCGTTGTCAGGTAGGAGAGTCAAGCGTGCGTTGACCTATCGTGTGACTTCCAACAATATAATCTTAATACCAATGATGAAGTCAAACGCGAATTTACGTACAGCGATTCTGCACATGTCCAACCGTGTATGCCGAAATGAATTTGCACTTTTGCGATGCATGCAAAAGCCTTCGTCCGAAACCAGTCGTTACTCTTCATACGAATTACTTAAATTGAGCAAAGTGCAGGCGCAAAAAATGGAATACCTAGTAAAGCGAAAATTATAGGTTTATTAAGATTGATGCGAATATAATTATACGGTCTTAAATTAGTGTCCGAAGTTTTTTCATCTACTTCTTCACGTGTCGGGAAAATTTAATTTACTTTAATTTAATAAAAAAGTAATTAATTTTATTATACTTTGTGTATTTGCTAACTTTGACATAAATTAGAAATTGTTAGTATTTTATTTTAGGAAACCGTATCAAAAAAATTAAAAATTAATTAAATTTGATTAGCAAGATTAATTAGAGAATTATGCTAGTTAATAATTGGATTTTGTTATAAATAACTGTTTTGTTATTTCATAAAGAAATAGTGTGGACATCTAGAGATGAAGGAAGGAACTAAATTTTACGTCTGTGGATAAGAGACCATCGACACAAGATTACTTTATCCTATTTTTTTTTTGTTAGTAATAAAATATGTCATCTATCAGATTAATTATATTTTTGTTTTAATTACTTAACAACATTTTTATTCTAATTAAGCATTTTAATTTATTTCATGCGTGTTGATAAATTATTTATGCAAACCAAAATATTTTACTGTTTTAAAACAGTAAATTTTAATTCTCTAAATGTATAAAATTAGCAAATAATTATTCTTTGCTAAATAATTAATTTATCCGCTTTCATACAAGAAATTGGACCAATTAGAGAATTAATTCTGTGCATAAATCGCTATTCTATTAAGTTCTATTAACGAATCTAATTCTATAAGCGAAGAAGAGTGGCTGTTTTCTCTAAATTAATTCAGTTATCAGATTCATTTAATATATTCAATTTTCGTGCATTGATTTATTACATAAATAACTATTAATTCATATTATATATCTACTAACATTCAACTTTGAAAGTAAATAAAGTTTATTAGCGAATTGACAATTCGTTGTTGTCATCTCTTCGTAACATTCTTGATTTCAAAAGAATTTTGGACAATATTGCGATTTGAAAGACGGGATGCGAAAATCCCGCGCGAATAATTACATTTATTAATTACATTTATTTATTTATCAATTTTACAGTGTAACAGTGTATAGGATACGCTGAATATAGAATAATCTTTTTTTTTATCGTTTACTAATTAAGACGATTAGTGTGTAAGTGACTCCGTCGGAACATACATATATATTATAGCACTTGTGTGACTTGTATTGGTCGCGATTAAAAATTCGAACGTTTGCGGGTCGAACTTATCTCGTAGTTCGTGGATTGAGTTCGCGCGACATTAAAATAGATTCACGTTATCGAACTGAACCTCAAACTGAATTTTATCGAGCCGGCCGCATTATCGAGTCACTTCCCAAATCGAACTTTGTCGAGAAAAATAATTAGAACAAAATTGTAGGAATGCTCGTGACAGCACAATTTTGATACAAGTTTAAATGTTTGCAAGGAGACTCGGCTTGAAACGCAGCTCAAAGCTCAGTTCAATAATGTAAACTCAGATTTACATTTACTTTCGTTCGCGTTGTATAAGAATAGATCTGATATTAAATATCTCGTAACGAAATAAATTATTGTAAGGCGTTAGTTCCTTTGTTTTTACTCCTATGATACTCGATGCAGATGAGGCCACAATTACTGTTTCCGCGTGTGCATCCACCGCACACTCGTACGTCTGCTTGTGTATGTATGCTGTGTACGTGTATATGTGTGTATACGTGTTTCTGTTTAACTTTTGCACATTATCAATCTGCGTCCCGCACTAAATCTTGAGCAAGTTTAAAATTCAATCGAGCTAAACTGTCGCAAACATTAATAAACAGTAGATCCTTTGCTCGACATTCAGCGCGCGACGAAACTTTGATTTTAAGGCTCATTATCAGTTCGATAATGCGATGTGTTGGGTATGTATGTGTTTGTTTCTTTTTTTCTGCCGTTTTTCTTTTTTTTCACTAAAACTCTTAACGTGTTAGTGCAAGAAATGCTTGTCAGCGTTATGTGTGTGTATGTTTGTGTAAGTATGTGCGCGATTCATACGGGACAATGACAGATCCTCACGACGATGCGCGCCCGTTTCTCTCGGCGAGCGAGAAAAAGTGAGAGAAAGACTGAGAAGAGAAAAGAGCCATCGCCGAACGGAAAATTAAAATCATATTGTTTATCCTATTCTTCTTCGACTAACGACACGCATGCACGCATATAACTTTCAATTGCTATCACATTATGCACGCGTGCAGAAAATTAATGAATTTTTTTAATAAAAGATCCGCGCTTGCTGATTCTTCGAACGTCAAATAATTTTCGTCGATAACTCAAATTCAATTATTGATTTCTTTCGAAAACATTGTACATACGAAAAATCGGTAGATCGTTTTTTATTGAAAACACGAGGGTCCACAAATTAATAGTGGATACTATAATATGGATGTTCTAATATTATACTATTGTATAGCATATAAGTACGAGAGATTTATGGCATCATACAGAGAGGGAAAGAGAGAGAACAATGACGGTGTTCGGGTCGGGTAGGTTTATGTCGCTGTGTGCCGTGTATTTGTGTGTGTGTGTCATGTTAGAATGTTGTATTTTTCGCGAGTGCGAATCGAAAAGAAATAATATATATGTAGAAATATATATTTCTATATCGATTTTAGCTCTTCGTAAGAATATATATATATATAATATTTATAGGACTCTCTCCGCACGCTTGCGCGCGTACCTCTATCATTTAGCAACATGTAGAGTAACATTTAGAGTAACAGATAGTAACATAACGAGAGCACGTGGAACGCTTAGGCTTTATCCATCATCCTAATCGACACGTTCGCATTAACGACCATTTTATTACGATTTGATTTCTCTTCATCGGACTGCTTACGTATTTCTTCTCTTTTTTTCTCTCTCCGATTCTTATTTTTTTTTTTTCGCTCTTAAATATCCTGACGTGATGATCGAGCAAATCATCTCGAACACGGGTACATGTCAGTGTTCTCTTTATAGCACACGTAGAACGAAATAACGAACAGGCTAATATCACTACGACTACGAAGATAGAAACGACCCTCGCGTTCTTTTGCGCCGCCCTCCTTTTTGAACGATCAATCGGTAACCGTAAAATCATTATGCTGACCCAGTCGAGAAATTCATCAGAGAATTCTCGAGCTTTGCTACTCCTCTGTAAAAAAAAAATTGAAAATTTTGTCGGTTGTCCGTAATAAAAACTCTTACGAGCGCCACTGGTGCTCTTCTTTTTATTTGCAATTTTTATTATATTTCTCCGCAATCTCATCTTTTATGGCTCTATAAAATTTTTTATTGTTTGCGTGCAACATCTATCCTCATTTTAAAACCGGCTAGGTATCATGGTGGGTTCGGTATCATGGTAGAATCCGTCTCGAGGATTAGATATAAATCTCTAATCAAATTTTGATCAGCATAATGATTTCACGAATCTCGCATCGGAAATCCATCCTGTTTCCCGTCCTATCCCTCTCTTCGCTTCTCCCCATCGAGCCTGTTGTCATTTTAATCGTCGTAAAATCGCGCGCTTTACATCAGCTTCAACTTAGCACACTCGGGGCAGATGATGTCCTCGCCGTCGGTGATAAAACCACGTCCGACGAGCGAGGCTTTGCAACCCGCGCAGATGAAGCAATCATTATGCCAGTGCCTGTCCTCAAACGAGATGAAGCGAGTGCCGCCGATGCCTGGAAATGAATTATCGAGTTTGCATAAAATTCGATTAATTTTAACTCTTATAAAAAAAGCTGTGTGCTCGGTTGTTTGAAATCTGCAGGAAATTCCGGCGAAAACAATTTGCCTAACAATTTTAATGCGCGTATATTTTTTGAAGAATCGATTATCATCATCGATCAATGAACAGACATGCATATCTATTCATCGATTAATTATTGTCGAAATATCGAGCATTCTCGCATTTAAATTCTTGTAGATTGAATCTAGAATTGTAGATTGTTGAAATATGCGCATAAGATTGATACGTACCAGTAATTGGCCTCGAGCAAGCAGTACACCTCTTGGCGAAAAGCTCGCCAAAGCAATCGGCACAGTACGGTTTGTCGTCGCGCGACGTGAATCGTTGTCCCGCTAGGGAGTTGTTGCAGTTGCTGCAGGTAAAGCAGTCTCTGTGCCACGGCTCGTTCTTGTATGTCACACCCCCGCTAGTGATGATCTGCAACAAACAGTTCTTAGTTTATTAGATAACCGCTCAGTGATTATTTCACAAATTTATTCAATTGAAATGGTCTTTATCTGTCTTGCGACGAGATCTTTTAATTTGCTTATTATAGTCAATAAAACTTTTTACGTCACGCGCAATAAACGTACGCGAGACGAGATGCGGAGTAGTTGTTGATATAATAAAAGGAGTGACCCACCTTGTTGCACTTAACACACCGGGTGGCGAACTTGTCCTCGTAACATGCGGCGCAGTAAATCTCCTGCTCGCGCGGGATGAAGCTTTTCGTGCCGATCGGATTCCTGCAGACCACGCAGCAGAAGCACTTCTCGTGCCATTGTCTGGTCTTATATTCCATCTTCTTAGTACCTGAAACATGCAAATAGTAAAATGATGTAAAGTAGTGTATAAAGAACTCCACTTATGATAATGTATGTTTCGAAACTAAATGTTTAATTCACATTTAAACAAATTTGTCTACGTGGGAGAAAGAAAAGGAAATCTGAATTGACATGACTTTATTGAAATTTCAATTGATATTCAAATACTTTTATAAAAATGCGATTCTCGCTCTTAGTCGTTTTACAGGACTAAAATCACAAAAAAATTATTGTAAAAAATGCAAAACAAAGTTTCAAATAAGTATACTGTCTAGACAAACGAATCGCGTGCGGGATGCATTGCTGCAAGTTTGCAATCGCGTGCACGCTTGCCGTGCGCGCGTTACGTCTGAAAGCTTCTCGAAACGGAATATATTTTTCATGAATTTCTTTGCGAGCTTTTCTATTGGACACTCGCTCATAAGACGCGAATTAGATCGATTCGCGGAACTTCCTTCATCGTTACGAGTCTCGTTCGACATTCCGTTTGGTTTCCGTGTTGATAGTTCATTTTCGCGATCCGCAATTAGCACATGCACAGATGCAAACAGTCTCATGGGAACAGGAACAGCCGGACGAAATTAATCGCACTGCGGTCTTGTGATTTTGATTGGCAAACCGCGTGATTACGAACTACGATAAATCGGGAAACTTAAATTATCTAAATAGTATGTAATACGATTTTCAAAAAAAGTCTAGGAACAAAAATGTCTATTTAATCAAATGTGATCAAATAATTACAAAAATAATTTAATGGAGATAATAATTTTTTTAAAATTAAAGATTTATTAAACTCAACGTTATATTTGTTTTCCATAATTATTCTATCAAGATGATTCTATTTGTATCTTTGTCATTGAATCCTTAATGCTTTAGTCTTCGGTATACATAATACGATTCAGTGTTAATTAAGTCATACGCGAAAATAAAAGTGTCGCTAAGTAACGTGAACGCTCAAAATCAGAATTAGTCACATGGTGATATCTTTAGAGCTGTTTGTCCCGCTTGTCCGCCGCGAAATTACTGTAATCTGGAGTCAGAAATGAGACGGTCTCGGTTACTTATTGTTTTCATTAAGATTAGGAACATTATGCGAGGAACGTGACGTGACGTAACGTGACGTGACGTAATTCATTCTGTCTAACAGATGAATATTGTCGGCTCGTTATCATGGTCACGTTTTGACGTGCGATTTGAGAAATGATGTACCAATTACGCTGAGAAATGGTAAGATAACGCCGAAAAGAGATCGTTGACTAGAAAACGGAAAGGTATTGTTCCCGTTAATGTCTTGCAAATTGCTTAAAACTGAAACTTTTATACCAGCTTGATTTAATGTAACATTAATTACCGTAGCATGTTATTTTGTACACGAAATAACTACGAAATCTAAGATTTTTTTTCCGAACTTTTTAGAAATACTTAAAAGTTTATATTCAAAATTTTTGTATATAAAAATTGCTCTAAAAATTCTCGCGGATAAAGATCTAGCTCTGCTTATTTATATTATAAATTTGATTATACATTATATATCCCTTATTTATTGTACATATTACGTAATTTAATTTTTTTTTTACATTTAATACATATTTTTTTTAAGATTCTTGGACGTAATGCACAAATCATGTTACAAATATAGAATCCATTTCATTGTTACACAACGGATCAAATTTATTCACGGACTGTTTGCAATGTAGAGGTTTGCCTTGTCTCTTTTTGTGCGTTTTTTTATTTTTCCTGTCGTGCCGAAGAAGACAACAAGATGGATTAATAACACGTCTCTCTATTTCGAAAGGTGATCTAAGGCCTGGCAAACGACACACTTAAATGTGACATTAAGTATGATAACGCGTCTTATGAATCATCAGCTGGATCCTAAATGTTTACGACGGAAGATCACGTCTGAAGGATGACAGTCCCGGTAATTAAAAGGCTTGTTCCATTAAAAATGGTCAAGTTCTTGTTCTTTTTGCAAAACATACATATTGTCGAACATAACACGTCATATATTGAAACGCGACTGAGTCGAAATAAATACTAAGTCTTCAATGCATTTAACGTATTTGATGAATGCTCAAGAATTGCACTCGTATTATCATATATCGACATAAATATCGATAATCATCTCCATTGTCATCGATGTAGATATTGATTACTACGCGATATGCGTATCTGCTTATACCTAGTAGCTCATTAATTATCGCGGATCAACTTGTTAAATTATTCATATTTATTATGTCGAACAGGTAATCCATTCGAATTTTTCAACTGCAACATCGCCAACCATTAACAGTTAATTATTCAGTCGTTAATTAATTACATCATTAAGTTATTAAACGACTAATTACTTAGATTGCACATTTGGTGCATTAATATTATAATGATCTCGTAATGCAAAATTAATTGGATTGAATTGAAACAATTTATTATAGTGGAGTTTACTGTGTGTGCAGTATCTATACGTTAAAGATAAAACGTATATACAACTTTCTATACAATTTACATTTCTATTTTTAATGTTTTTTTTTGTATGTTTAATCATAAATAAATGTTTATAATTTTTATTTTTGACTTACAACTTTTGATACGCCCTGAAATGCGTTTATTTCATGTTTTGATGCAATATGATGCGCTCCTCGGAGCGCACTAAAAATGGACATTCTTCTCCGATGCCCGCGTATCTTTCGTATACGATACACCGCCTTGTGGACCATTATGACTCAAGTGGAGATTCGTGACGTCACATCAGCCAGGCAATACCTCCGTATATGTATAAAGCTGATGGTCCAAGGCCGATGTGGTAATCTTTCGCGCGTCGCGTTAATCCGTGAATTATTCGCGCTATGAACGTTACGCTCATATTAAAAATTGGATATTTGCATAAAATTACATATCAACGCGATATAAAATATTTTTCAGCAAACACCGTATAAAATGTCGTTTTACGTATTAGCTCATCGTTATTTAAATATTTTAGGATTAAGATAAAAAATGTTTCAAAATCAGTCATTGATATGTCTTAGTCAATTAAGTAGAGAGATTAAATCCCTAATCGATTGAATAAAAATGTACCTACTAAAAGTTGGTCAAGGAATCTGCCGCTATAATAGAGTACTTATACTTTTAAGTAGTATAAATGCAATTAAATCTACAGATGTTTAGTGCAATATTTACCGTGTTTCAAATTAACGCAATCTTCTTGACGCAACATTACACGTGTTAACGCGTGGCACCATCCTTCAACCGTGTGCAATTACACACCGTTGACGGATGGAGAGATGCGCTTTAAAACCTACTTACGAAGCGTCATTCACGCTTTTAAATGACCTGTTCAGTTCGTCACGGTAATAAAAACATCTTTTCCTGCCAGCGTGACGAGGGAGATTTTTTTGATTGCCAATTATTTTTAATAATATCTATTTGCAATATCGCAATTTTTTAATACGGATTATAACAGGACTTTCCGCCGCGTTCTTTAACTACGGTTTCTTTGATAATAGCGTATTCATCACAGCTTATTCATTCCTTCCTCGATGAGTAACAAATTCAACAGTGGCACCGTCTATTTTCGCATCCGCGGACGCCGCCATTAATTATCGTTATTCCTTTTCTGGCGCTCGCGTGATCGTCAACGAGATCGTTCGGATGCATTTTACGATTATCACTCGTCATATTGGTAACGCGCTCTCGTAGGCCGACTATCCGGAAGCCGCTTTCTCTGCGTCAAGTCTAAATATAATCCGACGAGAAGCAGAGGCTAATGGCTCCTAAAATTTCCTGACCCAGGGCAAACCCTGTTCGCCAAGCGCATGGAAATCGACCACCACGTTGTAAATTGCTTATCTCACGCTCGCGGATTTGTTTATAATTAAAAATTTACTTCCGTTTTATCTTCGGCTCTGACGCACATTCTTAGTTCTAAAATGTAACTTTCGATAAATTAATGATTTCAATCGGTAAACACATATTCGTATTTTTTATACGAACGAATAACATCTCGGGACATCGGTCTTTGTCATTTGATTAATTAGTCGAGCAGTAATTCATAAATTAATATACAGCCGTACGCACAAATTCAATGTCGAATATTTACATTTTTATGTAAATGAGGTGCGATCTTTGTGTCGGAGATCACGGACTTACGGAAGAGATCGTAACTCGATACGTTTGGATATGTCATACTGATTGATATTCAAAAATGAACAATGTACCGATGTACGATCTGCCGTTACGTAATAATGATATCATTGATATTAATACATCACTATCGATATCGGAATCCTTAGTTGAACGAAGTCACGTTTTCAGTGATATGCAGTTTCGATCATTTCGCGCGTGTAACTGTATCACTTGCTTTTTTCCCATCGATTCATCTGTGCACTGATGTTTTTTCACCACTTCAGCAATAAGATGTGTACGAGACAGTACAAAGTTGCATAATTATCTCCCAAAACACTAAATAATGCGCGTTCAAAGGTCTGACGAGGCGATTGAAACGAGGCGATTGCATAAATTTTTCCATTACAAATTAAACGCGTCGTCGTCAATATACATATCTTTTTCATCATCAAAGCAAATTCCAAGATTGTTTGATGTTTCACAATGGTTTAATCATCGCCGACGTTTGATTACATATTCGCAAATTATGGTGTATCAAGAACAAGCGTGTGAAATACTTACGTAATTGAAAAAATATAACATTAGTAAATTTATTTTTTATTTAATACTATATACCGAATAACTAAATGAGCTCGGATAATTGTATATTTCCTTTTAATTATTTATCAATTAAAAATTAATTACACATGTTTCTTTGAAATTTGATTCAATAAAACCGCAATAAAGCGTAAATGCAGTTCAATATTTTTAACTACATCGTACACGTGCTGACTGCTTCGACGTTTATGATGTCGTGAGTCACGTTTGCAATAAAATCAATCATAGATACGCGAGCATAGATACAGTCCTCGTCCAAAACAATTTATATAC